GCTGAGACCATTGAGCATCTGTTCTGGTCTTGCCCTATGTGGCAGCAAGTCAGGCTTTCTTTCCTTTCGTTGCAGCAACTTCATGCTTGCATTGATCTGCCGTTTTGCACACGTCGCACTGGGATTTTTCCTCTCAGTGTTGAGCAGGCCGACGCCATGTGCCGCACTCATAATGACCCTAGTTTACACCCAAAGCCTGAAGCCTTGCCTCTCTCACCTTGTAGTTTTGCAGATGCAATTCATCGCATGATGATTGCCATCGTCAAAGCACGTAATGGTGCTGATGAGCTGCCAAGGCCTGACAATTTTGATCCCCGTCCTTTTTTGCCACCACCACCTAAGAAAGAGGGTAAGAAGAATCCCATCCCATCTTCTTGTCCGGCCGCAAATAGTGACAACAATCTCGGTAAATCTGCTTCTTCTGTGCCTTCCGACGACCCAGTACCACTGCCACCCAGGCCTACTCATGATGAGGACGGCCTTCTGCTCAGCACTTCCCTCCGTCCTGGAGGTTCGAAGTATCAGTACGTGCAGTTCAACGAAAAGAAGGGTACGTATAAAGCTGTTGTCCCCCATGGTGCTAAGAAACATTGACACTGATGTCTCAGCTGCCCGTGCAGTTAAGTCTTTCCTTGATGCTCTCCAACATGGACAAGCGCCTGAAAAACGTACCAGTAAGTTTAATTCTGACCTTGACTGCAAGCTTGATTCCCTTAATGCCACTGCTAAAGCTGACTGCAGACACTTTGTTGAACCCACTTGCCGCTGGTGCAAGAAATCGGTGGGTCGCTTGTATGCCTCAAATTTGCTGAATCGCTCTGCCCTGAGCTCACGCGTAAAGTGGATAAAGCGGGTTCTGCTACCCGTGCTGCCAATCTTTCTAAAACGCGTTTGGAGACCTTAAAGGTTGATGTTGATGCGCACAACAAGCAAGCCCGTGCCAGTGGTCAGCGTTTCATTGCTGACTTTGACAATCCGTATTGCCAGTATTGCAAAACTTCTGTGACTGTGCAGAAGCTTCGGCGTTGGATGACTCAGCACTGCCCTGCCGCTCCCAAATTAAGTTCCACCTCAAAAAAGAAACCTCATAAAGGCAATACCCGCAGATAGTTTGGTGCATTTTGCTGACGGTTCAACCCTTCGTTAGGTTACGGCAGCTACGAAAGCATCAACTACACCGCATCGCCTTTGCGTGCGTTCGAGAACGAGCTCGGTGTGCAGGACCCAGTGGGTTTCTGGGATCCAGCATGCCATACAGGTTTTTCGTGGGAA